CGCTTTTTTTGTGCTCGTCTAATATTACTCATACGCCACGGCGTCTGTTTGCTTTGCAGCCGGTATTTAAAAGGAGTGAGGAAGCATTCACGCATTTCATTTCGTGATGAGTTTGTTTAGATGTCGTTTTCGCGCTTCTACGCAAATCATGCTATTTATTTTTCTGTACATACACACATTCAAACATACGCACATACCATGTTTATTGCTTAGGTAACTATGTATATTTTCATTATGGGAATGCGTCGATAAAATAAAATATGTGAACTAAAGTTGAAGTTTACTGAAGTGTTATCGGCCATCTCCGTGGATGAAACCTAAAACGAAATTCTCTCTAGAAGATATTGTCCATACAATTATCTACGGCCGAAAAATACATACAGTAGAAAAAAAAATCGGATCATGAATATTCTCAATCGATCAAATGTTTCCCTAAATTTTCACAACCTTTTCTAAGTTCGCCTGATGTTTGATCCCCATATGTCAATTAGTGTGACCGCGCAAAAAATTTGTCTGGCGATTTTTCCATTGGAAAAATATATTTAATAGCGAGCTTGCTTGAAATTTTGTATTTGCGATCCATCACGATAACCTCAAAAAAGTTAAAGGAAAAGTGCTTGAAAATCGCGATATTTCTTATAGATTCTCTCTACACATTTTTGTGAATTTTTTTGTTTTGAAGCGTGTTAATTCTAGATTTGTACCAAAAGACCTGACTCTTTTGCAAAAACGGCAGCGATCCAAAAATTAGCCAAAATCGAAAAAACAAAAATTCGCTGAAGGCACTGAAGGCCATCCCAGCTTAGGTTTATAACAAATAATAAGTGCATTGAAAATTAGATTAAGCTTAGGCTTGCTTGTCTTGGCTCACAAGCCTATATTGAACGCGATAATAAAGATCTGTATTAAAATAGGTGGAAATGGTATTTGGTATCTTGTGCTAATTTCCTTCTCTTCAGGTTTGCGGCGGTTATATAAAGAAGGAAAACGAAAACTTAATATTTTAATTAGCGGAGTAAGTAGCGGAAAATAGTTTCGATAAACTTGAATTAAGAATGACAGTGCATAATTTGATTAAATATTTTCTGAAAATATTGTAAATGGAAATAAATGTTTGAAAACTATCTACAAAATTCTGACATTATTAAATTTTATTTTTATTTTTACAACCCTAATTTCCCGTGTATTATTACAACCCTAATTTCCCGTATTATAATATTTAAATAAGGTAAAGACTCTGCTTCAAAAGTTCTTCTTCTTCTGAATAAATTGTTTTGTCATATATTTAAATGTTAATATTTTAACATTTGAAGATTACGTGTTTGTTGTTTGTTTTGAATTACTTGTTATATTTATATTTTCTCATATTCGTTATATTTAATATACTCGTATTTATATATCACACTAAATTATCTGCCAGGTGACAATTTGTGCAAAATATTTATAATTCTCAGGAACACCACCCTCGTTCCATAAAGTTGTACTCAAAATAATCAGAAAATTGTATTATGAACAGGGTATATAAAGTATGCCCCTATGTTTATGACACCCAAAAGGAAACGTAGGGTCTCTTACGTTTCCTTAAAGTATATATAAAAATCATTATCGTGATGAGCTGAGTCGATTAAGCCATGTCCGTCTGACCGTCTGTCCGTCCATCTGTCTGTATATATGCGAACTAGTCTCTCAGTTTTAGAGGTATCGAGCAGAAATTTTGCTCCTGTCGTATTTTCTTCAACTGTTCATTCGATCGGAATCAAGTACAAAAAACTTTCTCATTTGAGGATATATCTTCACGAAATTCGGCACTTGATATTGTCCAAGTCAATGGTGCAATTTCCGACTATTCATATAGCTGCTATACAATGCCATACCAACTGACCGCCCGATCAAAGTTCTTGTAAGAAATTTTTAGTATTTGTGAAGGTGCAATCGAAGTTAACGTTGTTTTTTGTTTCATAACAAATTAAAATATGTATACATATACACTACTTATTTCTGTAAACGGTATATATACACCAAGAATATTTATGTATGTATCTCCACACAGTAACTCTTAACCTCATTTAGACACTCATGAATATTAATTTGGCAATAAATTCTTATGTCAAATCCAATAATTTAACGCCGCATCACGTCTACGGGCTGTAAACTTCCCACGATCGACAAGTGACGGAAAGATAATATTATCATTGCAATTGCTTATTATTTTTGTGTAAGTGCATACATACAAACATGCATACTAGCTATGTGACACCAAATTGACCTCAAAATTAACTTTTGTAAAATCTGTCCATTAAAAATCAGACAGGATCCACAATAAATAATTAAAATAACCTACTTTTAAGCGCCACACTCGTGTGTATAACTTAGTATCGGTGGGAATAGTAGCATTCTGTATCCTATTTTTACATTATTATGGTAAATGAGGTGTTGTAGAAATATATGTACATATGTACATTACAGTTCAATCATTGGTATAAATTGTACTCATAACTATTAATCGATTTCAGCAGAAATATTTTTACGAGAAAAGCAATCTGTGGGAACTGTATCGGAACTAATCTATTCTACGCCAATTGGAATGCAGTTGCGAAATGGTAAATAACTAACTAGTTCTAATCGAAATTCTGATCACCTTTGTTGCATGACATAACATTTGGCAAACCTTATGGTTGCGCACTCATTCGCAATATTTGCAATTGGTGAGCTATAATTTATTTATTTTGATATAAAAAAGATAGACTTTTGAGTCGACGTTTGAATGAGCTATAGGAAGAGGCTTGGCATGCGTGGAATTGTCGGTCGATGCAACAAACACACATAGTACATACATGTATTGTCATAACATCGCTATGAATTTAATGCAAGCGCTTGTAGTTATGTATGTGTGTAAGTGTAAAATGTATTTATTTAGTAATTGTAATGCTCGCATTGACATGATTATTTGTGCAATTTTGCTATTTTCTGGTGCCATGAACCAAATAACTGTATTAAAGTAGAGCATGAAAATACCAATGGATCGTCTGTCTGATAGGCCGATAAAAACAGCACATATATTTGCCAACCAATTAAGAAATATTAAATTACGATTTACCTTTCGATAGGTTATATATGTATATCGAGAAATTGGTTATTGCGCGAAATTCCACACGACTATGCACGGACAAAGGGAATCAGACGTCCTCATCTAACGTTAGAACGAATTGTTTCGACAGGGTTGGACCATACTAAGAGAGAATATGATCTAGCGCAATTGTGCAAAGGCTATTCTAGTTTTTCCAACTCAAACTTTTTATATCTATAAGGTGTCGAAAAAATTGAATATCGCTCTGTGAATGATAAGGTTAATATGTTCATTCAATCGTTTATACAGCAAAAAGTGCAAATTTGAAGTATATTAGTTTAAGCTTTTCTCTGAGTTTTACATATGTATTATGAAATTCATATGCGCTCAATAATATGTATATAAGAACTGGTACTTAGCAGCCCGTTTTGGCTAGGCTCTCAAAGCGTTAAGTGTGCAATTTTAAAATTGTAAATTTATGATTACAATATTAATTAATTTTTACACAATTTCATAGTTAAATCAACATACTCGTAAATATCGTTGATTGAATAAAAATTAAAATAATTGAAGAGTTATTGCACTTTCTAAATTATTAATATATGTAAGTACTTATGCGGCAAATATATTAATTATATTACAGATAACGGTAAAATTTTTCTGATAATTAAATCAATCATCGTTTTCGTATGATTGATTGAAACATAAAATTTTAAAAGGTTAAAGATTAATTGCAATTCAAAGCAAAAAGCGCATAAATATATTTATACACATAACTACTCGTAGTTATGAACGATCATTTATCTGTTTGCGAACATGTATTTAAATATTTTTATTGCAATTTTATGGTAGCATGGTTAAATGCCCAGCTTACGTTGTTGGCGATAGGTAATAGCGGTTAAATGTTAAAAACACATATCAAATTTATTTGCTGCATACATACATATGTATATAACATATAATAAACAAGACTTACTTAACTTTGTTTACGCTATTTGTACTACGCAGCAAATACAATGCCATTATATTTATTGGTAAGAAAAAAAGTATTGTAAGAGCGATCACCTTATGCCCTACTACGAGTAATAAGTTAATTTTCCGTTTATCTACGAAGATTTAAAGTATCAATCAAATATTGACAACGGCTTCTTTAGATAAATTAGATAACCTCACTCATAGATAATGCATATCAGTTAGCTAAGTGCTTGTATTTTATACTGTACGTTAAAAGGTGAATGCCTGCATTTTTACATCGGCAAATATTTAAGTCTGTGCACAGAAAGGAGAACTTTAGGAAGGAACCTTTGATATCTATTGAAATAAATAGAACCCTATAGTATTAGTATATACATTTTTCATAGCTGTCGTAAATTAGCGTAAACTTGCACCAAATATTATTAATGTACTCGAGTTCCTCCTCTTGGAGACGTAACCTATAGTTAGATCCTTGGTCGAGTTTCTTGTACAATTTGTTGTACATATGTATTTATTTTGATTTTATCAGAGCTGGGACACCTTCGAATATCTGATAAGTTTATAACAGAATTTTTCATGTTATTTTTCCAAAAACACTCTCAAGGGTTTGCCTGTGCCTGACGAGTGGCCGTTGTTATTAAACACCATTATTGATTGGAACAGCAATCGAAACTAGATGCTTTGAAGTCGTAGTGCAAATCGCTACATGAAGTTTCAAATATTCTTACGGCTTAAAAATAATATATAGAAATACTAAAAAGGACATTTGAAAAAAAAAAATATTTTTTCACTAGCTGATTGATCGCTCACTTTAAAAAATAAAATTTTCCCTTTTTATTTAATAGCCATAACTTTCCTAAAGGAATTAAGTTTACAGATTTCATAAATACTGCACAACCTACCCATACACCCTGTATTTTTAAAATACTGTGAATATAGTGAACAAATGCGCACTCACCGGCAGTGAAATCATTGCTGCAGTCATAATTAAAATTAATTTATAGGATTTTACACTGCGCTAATGAAATTTATACAAAAAATTAAAATGTTGTATATGAATGTATTAACACAAAACACCGACGAAGCAAGATTTGACAGCGATATTCCAGCCGCTTATCAGTAATTGACAAAGTTTATAATGCTTCGATTTATAAAATAATATTTCACAATGCAGTTCTAATGCGCAGAAAATTAATAAGAAATTTAAAAAAAAACTAAGTTTCATAGCACAGTATTATTATTATTTTATAATATTTAATCAGTATGCCCCAGCACCACTTCGGCTATTAAAAGCAATAAAGTATATACAAAATTTAAAAAATAATTAAGTGTGATTATGATTGCACACACATTTATGTATATGACATCATATGCTTTATTTAAAATTTTCGGTACGACCAAGTTTTTCAATAGTTATGTTGACGCTAACGCAGAAACACTTTAAAACATATAAAGCGCAAACAAAACATAAACAAGAAGTATCAGCAACCACAAAACACCAAATTCCGATATTTATTTTATTTTTTCGAATGACAGCAGAGCGATTAAAAACACATCATTTGTACATTGATAAATGCTCAACGCAAAGATCAAAGCCGAAATCTCGACTTGTAAGTTCACAGCAGTTGGCAGCGGTAGGACATTTCTTGTACCAGTACTTGAAACACAATTGGTGTGACACTGAAGTATGCTTCAATTAACTGTGCATTAAACTCGCAACACGTAAGTATGTACGCGTGTATTTGTGTTTAAGTTAAAAAAAAAACCGTAAGTAAGTAGACAACACAACTGTCAAACAGCTTAGGCGGTGGCCAATTCGTTACTGATTGTGAGCAGCGTGGAGCGCTTAATTCTGAGCGCAGTTCAAGTCTACAAAAATAAGTAAAATATGCAAAACAAACATACATACACATATATGTATGCATATGTGACTATACTTATATCGTATTTACTTATAATTAATGTTCTTGCTGTTGTATTTCGTTGTTGCTGAAAAGTGGTGAGCCTACCTCGTAGGCATACGGGTAATGTTGAACAGTTAAGCACTTGGTGGGCAGACGATTCTCAATTGCGAGCGAATTTGCAGTTACTCATATGCGATAACACTTCTATGACTGTTTAAAGTGGCGACTGAGGGAGTATACGACATCGATTGCTGTTCCAAAAGTTGTAAATTATACAAAAATTTATCGGCTATGAAGCAACGGAAAATAATTCAGAACATAATCCCAACTTTTAACTGATTTAGACAGCGTATATTACCGATATCGGACAACTATAGCTTATATCTGAACGATCAAAATCAAGTTTTTGTGTGGAAAACCTTTTTGTTTGACAATATATCTTTACGAAATCCGGCATAGCTTATTGTCCAACACAGCTCTATAATCTTCGAACAAATTGTTCAAATCCCAGTACTATAGCATAGTACTACCATACAAACCTAATGGGCCGGTTAAGCAAGATAAAGACCTTTTTATATCCTTTTATGCTATAAGATATGCACCTATGAGGGGTATTATAGCCTCAGTGTAGCCTAAATTGACGTTTTTTCCTGTTTCAATGGTAAATCGAGTTAAAAAGTTGTCACCTGTATGAAAATTTCCTATTACACCTATTTACATACATATGTCTAATTGCACATATGAATTTAAAAATTAATGCATAAATTTGTAAATAATAAATATTTAAAATCTGACTTTTTTACGCTAATTTACATAATACTACCTAAAGCAGCGGTATAACACCTCTAATACAGGTACTAAACACAAATGACAATGGGAAGAGCAATGAGTGGAAAATAATTCATTCGCTGTTGAAAAAGTGAAAAATAATAAAAATTTACAAATTTGAGATAATAACAAAATTCACACGAGCGCGCGCTTTTAATTATGTAAGTAAAAAAATATATGATTACCACCGTGACATAAACAATAAAAGCGACAACAACAACGAGACTAACGACAAACCGCAGCAGTGAGCGTAAACGCAGGCGCAGTAGCGCACGAGATCCAGCAAAACGAGCAAAAAAGCAAACATGTAAATATTAAATATCTATTCAAGATCATTACAATAACAAAAACAACAATCAGTAAACATCATCACGGCGAATCAAAATATAAACAAAACTCCACGAGTGACCGAAGCATGCTGACTTCACACAACCTAATCTAGATAACTATGTATGTATGTATGCGTGTGTAGCAAAAATGTGCAGATAAAAGTGTTTTAATAAAAAAATAATATATTTTACATACATATGTGAGCGTTTGTGTACTTTATGATTATTGAAGGCAACGCGACCTTTCGGCCAGACACCCAAACACAAAAATACAGACACGAGCCATAATGCCTTTTTAAGTCGATTTGTGGCTTACTCAGCTAAAAGTCAAATATGGAACGAGTTTTCAATAATGATTATCGCATTGATTTATTGGTTGTTTCCTAGTTTGTTTTCTACATAAACAAAGCGTAAAATCAGCGATTGCTTATAGAATTAGTAAATCTATGGAAATTCTTAAAACAAGTGTTTAAAGTCTCATTGTACAATATATTATATAAAACAATAAGACATTATATAACAATACTTTTTACTAACAAAGTTAGCATTCATGTGGAGGAATCAAGACTCTGCCTCATTGTTAATTTTGATAGTCAGATGTTAGCATGGAGTTGACGAGATTTTTACGTGTTAAAAGAACTTTGCACAAATAACATACTTATATCAATGATTACTTTAATTTAATTTTTTTTCTATTTTTATTTTTTATATTATTTTTTTTTTTTCACCGTTCAACATATTACATCATTCTAATCATCATTTGAGAATTACTTAATTTTTGCATATCATCACAAATTTTTTGTTGGATTTGAATACGATAATTATTTACACTCGCGTGTTGTTAATGTTTTAGTGGCATTAATTCCTGAACAGGATGTCGAACTTAGTTTGACAGACAAATTGCTTTAACTACAGATGACTCGACGCCAAGCATTATTGCTAAGAATACTATCGACAAAAGCAACAATAATTACTCATGCTATTGAAGTCAGAGTACGCTAAACTTCACTTTCAGTGCACACCGAATAATTGTACATGAGAGTTTAAGATTTTAGCGCTTAACAATGAGATCAGAAATTTACATCGATTAATCACGATTCTGAAATTTTTAGTAGTTTCGAACATATTCTGAAATATTTTCCCCTGGAATGATTACGGTTTCACTGGTAGGAGTAAAATCTTGATATTTCTAAGCGCACCTTAATTCACTTTCTTTGTTTTTTCATTAACCTTAACCTTATCGAAAGGAATTTTGAATTAACTCAAAAAGCTCATGATTGCTCATTACTTCTTAAGATAGTTGCTCATGCGGAAGTGGCTGGTCAAATTACAACGTTCTATAACCTAAAATTTCGAAGAAGTGAAGCCAAAAAGTATCAATAAATAAAATACTGAGACAATTTCTATATCTGAAAGTTCAATGCAAGAGTGTTAGATATTCTTCAATCGATTTCAGAAACTAGCTATAGAAAATTACCATATCGTTTGTTTTGATGTAAGATAATCCGGAAGTTTGTTAGAGAAATATGCAAATACAGAAAAAGTGATGAATGAAATAATGTATCTCTTTCAGTTTAATGATATTTTTAAGCTGACTAGATCTATCAGATAAATTTTTAGTTTATATCCGGAGCGTAAATATTTTGGTTATTTTTTACTAGAATGAGACCAGCAATGAGCAATATCTGACCACAATTTGAAAATTTACATTTCGTTGACTAGTTGGTTGATATTGTGACCAGTTTTAAGGTAGTTACAACTAGCTATTTTTCTGCAGGGCATACATACATGTATCATATTGTAATATACGCTCCCATATAGACAAAAAAAAAAACAGATAAAGCAAGGAAACAGATTTCACAAAGCGTGATCAGCTAATTTAAATACTGTTCAATATCAAAAGTAAAAGTTGTAAAAGAGAATAAGAAAAATGAAATATTTTGTGGATTTCCTCGAAAGGCCATAATTGGGCATAGAGTCCCTGAGTCGGTGTATATTAAGGTGCAAATATATTTATATTTATGGATATATTAATTTGTAGCTAAATTTTTTGCATGTTTCAGCATTTTACAAAGCAGTGTTGCCATTTAATATGATATATAAGCATATATTTATCAACAGTTTGTTAGTTTACCGAGTATTTTTTTGCTGCTCGCTTACAAGAGGATTGCTTCTATATTAATTGACATGTCGATAATTTTTGAAAAATATTGGAATTTATTGAATTTGACGGAATATATACCTGGATCTTGTCAACGAAAATTAAAAAATTTTCAAAAAGTTGATAAATTTGACTAAGAAGCAAGTACTGCACACAATATACTATATAATAACTCTACGGTTTATGGAAAAATAAGTGGTATGCGCCTACAGAGTTTTTGTAAACACGAGTCGTATATGTATTTAGTAGAAAACCTTATGTAGGGCGTATGCTTGTAATTTGTCAGTAACGTAAAGCTGTCGTGTTGTCGAGTCTTTTCCAATATTTGTTAATTAATTAACGCCATTATTTGAAAATTCGCTTTTCATTCATACCTCCAAACATCGGCTACATGCCTACATGACGTGAATATACCTTCATATACTAGTATACGTATGTACATATGTATGTATGTATTTTTTGCACAGTTTAAATTATGCGCTATTGAGTGGAAAACAAAAGGCACGAATGCGCCAAGCCGTTTTCGGTATATTTTTGTTTGTTTAAATTTTTGCTAAAAAGCGTTAATTTGTTACTGCAGTGAGGGGTGAGATCCGCCAAGACCTCCACAATATACAAAACTGCAGTGAGTAATTTCTACAACGCTGTGTACTTATGTATGTCCATTGGCTTGAGAAATTACAACCAGATGTATAAATTTGTGTATATTCAATACTCATATGTAAATACGAGTACGTATGTTAGAGTCATTCATGTTTATAATTATTGACTTTTATTACGATGTGTTAATTTACGCCAAGTCTCAATATTTATTTAGCACTTAGCTATTCGCCTAATACATACTACGAGTATTATGAATTAAGCTAATGTTTTACTTTGCTTGTATATGCATAAATATACCCTATTTAATATATACGACAATAGCTATTACAAATTCTTATATACATACATGTATAATATAAACAGTTTCAAGGGTAATTTGGTAAATAAATAATTTTTTTCAATTACCACTGCTTTTGAAGTGGCTAATTTTTTCATTCTATTATTATATTCTTATTTTCGTGAGTTGAGGAAGTATATATTTCTGACTCTAGTTTCGTAGCTTGGCGTATTTTTAGAAACAAAAAATAATATTTCTCGACATTATCTTGACAATTTCTGCCGAATTGCGTTGTTGGTATAAACATGCTTCTAATCATCCAGAAACGCCTACGTACCTTCAGATCCATCAAAGTCAATTCGTTTAACTCATCGGCCAGTTATTATCACGTTACTGTTTTTAACAGGTCATGAAATGGTGCGGTGCCCCTCTATCGGCAATTTTTAGCGCTTAAATATGAAATATTTGCTGTTTTCGATTCACTATTTTTCTGCTCGCTATTTTTGAACCTTGCTCGCTTGTCAAAAAATTTACATGTGAGATCAGTAATAAAGTTATAGAGTTGAATTCGATGCAAGAGAGTAAGGGCACAGCTTATTAAAGTTTGCTTCAATGCTACCAAATTTCCTTATACATATTTTCGACCAGTTTTATTACATATTGTAAACGATAAAACTGGTATCATTTGTTCGATTCGCAGCTCTCCAACGCCTGTCGAATC